CATTCCACCCCACCCCCCTTTTTTTTCTCCTGGAACAGAGAACCTAAGCCAGGGCTCGCTAGGCAAGTAAGTACTCTAGTATGGAAACTAAATCCCCAGCCCATTTAGGGGCACTGTTTTTGTTTTATTGTTTTATTTTCTGTTTGTTTATGAGTTAAGCAATGTTGAGTAATGTTAATAATGTTAGCGTTAGCTGGGTGTTTTAGTTTATACCTACAATCCTAGCACTTGGGAGGCTAAAACAAGAAGACGAAGAGGATTACCTTAAGAGCTGAGTATGCCTGGGCTACAGAGTGTGATCTTGTCTAAGAAACAAACAAACAAAACCCCAAAAAATCACCACCACCAAAAACAAACAAAAAACTGTTAAATGGTAAGTCTTTATTATCACAGGCACCTTGAATGTTTACTCTTCCTTCAAATAAGCTAAAATGTTTGGGGTGCAGTATATTTGACTCTTTGATAATTGTCAAAACTTTAATTTATGCCTGTCTTGGGTGGCTCTCTTTGTGGCCTGGCTGCTTTAAACACTTACTTTACCAACATCTTTCAGAACCACATTCCAGCATCAAGCATTTCTGCAACCCTGGCTGCTAGGAGAACCCGTTCAGACTCTCTAGACAGCCTGCTCTAGACAGCCTGCATCTGCCGTAGAAGATATCGCCAGGATAAGCCAAGCCTTGAGGAACCCTACAAGCCTGGTCAGCTTGTAAAAGGGAAAGAGTTTGCCTCTGCACCTCAAGAGAAAGCTGTGATGGGTGCAATGGGAGCCTTGAACATGGTTGTTACATAAAGCTATCTATTTGTATTGTCTCTTATTTATTTATCTGCCTCTGTCTCTTTTTCTTGGTTTGTCTTTTATCTCTTTCTGCATTTGCCTGTGTGTATTTGTCATGTGTATATTCAGAGGTCAGAGGACAACTTATAAAATAATTGATTTTCTTCTTCCATCGTGTGGATCCAGGAATTGACCTCCGGTCATCAGTGTTAGTGGGAGGTGCCTTTATTCACGAAGCTATCTCACTGGCTTGTATGTAAAAGTCATGATTGATGCTTAAACAAGGTTTTGATTGGTGGAACTGTAAGCTTTGCTGCTATTTATGCAAATTAGAATCCTGCACTTTTACATTCCACCCACCCCCAGCTGGCTCTATAACTAGGTTGCTTTCTATGCTTTAAAAAGCATTTTTAGAGATCACATTGATTGATTGATTGATTGATTGATGATTGATTGGTTGCTTTTGTGTTTATGAAAATATGCACAGGCCACAGTAAATGTGTGAAGGTCGGAGAACAACTTTCAAGTGTCATTTCTCTCCTTCCTCCAACTGGGTGCTGGGGATTAAACTCAGGTAGCTAGGGGTTGGGGATTTAGCTCAGTGGTAGAGCGCTTGCCTAGCAAGCGCAAGGCCCTGGGTTCGGTCCTCAGCTCTGGAAAAAAATAAAAAAAAAATAAACTCAGGTAGCCAGGCTTGGCCTAAAGTGCCCAGTCATGCTGGTAGGTACTCTTCCCTGCTGAGCCATTTCTCTCCCTCCCTCCCTCTCCAGGCTTAGTGGTAAGTGTCTGTACCTGCTGAGCTCCTCCCTTCTCCCTCCCTCTCTCTCTCTCTCTGCTTCCCTCTCTACTCTTTGATTCAAAGAGGGGGTCCCAAGAGTTGCAGCATGAGGCTCACTGTGGTGAAAACAGCACTGGCAACCAACCCCAAAAGCATCAAGGTTAAAGTGATTAAAGTGACCCAGAGAACAATCCTAGAAACTGTGGTCAGCAGAGGCACCTAAACTAGTGAAGGACAGTGGAAGTAGAGAAGGGAAAGGAATGTGTTCAAGATTGTAGAAGGTGGAAGGCTTTGAAGACCAAATATGGAAGACTGCGGGCCTTGGTCACTGAAAAAGAGTTCCAGATTCCTTCCGAGCCTTAGGAGCAGAGGACCCGGCACTCAAAGAGCTGCAAGGGGCTACTGTCGGATGTCTAGGGCTCCAGCTCCCAGGCCTGAGAGTTGTAACAGCAGCCACTGTTAGGGTCCAAGAGTGTCAACTCCTAAGACACAGGGCCTGGAGGCTTAAACTGACACTAACTGCTGCTAATACGAGTGTCTGTGAAGAGATGAGGAGTGTGCTAGCAGTGGCTTGCCAGACTCAGCTAACCATCTCCGTGAGCACCTGGAACTGTAAGTCTGGCTTCTGAGGCTTGGAGCCATAAGTAACTGTCCCGCCCCACGGGACTTAGTTATTCGTGGGGGCGAAGGGGGTCAATCCTGAAAAAGATGGGGGAGAGAGAGAAAGGACACAAGCAGACGGTTGCCGGTCAAGTGTCCCTTTATTGAACTTTGGTGTTTCTTTTAAAACGCGGTTTTGGCAGGGCGGGGGAGAGGGGCGAGAAAGGGAAGTAATAGTGGAAAAATACCAAGACCCTTGGTGGGAAGTTCCCAAGGCTAAGAAGGTGGGTTAAAGAGTTACAAGGCCCGAAGATAACATCGGTGGTCACATCGGTGGTCACGGATGTGTCCCAAAGCAAACAGTTTTGGGAACAATGGGTTGTAAGAAGCTATGGCCTGCTGGTGCCCGGTGCTTATCTGGCAGGTCAGGCCCTTAGGAAGGGTCCCAGGGCTTTGCTCCCAACAAGTAACCACTGCCAATGCTCAATCTCAGAACCTATAGTGCTCATGAGTTGTAGTGACAAGCTTCTGAACCTGTTGGACCAATCCATAAACTTCCTGTACTCAAAGGGCCTGAAGTGCCAAATCCTACTCCTGACTTCCATCCAACTACAAGCAAAAAGGCCCAAGCCAGCTGATTGGTAATAAATTATGTCAAGTATTTTGTCCCAGTGATGAATGGCTGACTAGAAGTGAAGTAAGAGATTTAGAATACTGTGCTGCCTACCTGCTGGGTTCCAAGGAACTTGCATCATGTCCTCAGTTATGCTAAAGTCTCAGGGCCTGTTGCAGAATGATTGTTTTTTGAACCAAGCACCCTGTATCCTAGGGAGTTTAGCTATGTCCACTTGCAAATTATCATACTACTTATGGTATACAGCTTTGATCTTTTTGAACATGGCCTCTGGAGGGCCTAGAGTATACAGGCTGGGGATGGGGTGGGGGTGGGGGCTCATTCCTGCTGGCTAAAGGCTTTCCAGATACGGCCCTTTGGGATAGAACAACCCACAGCCCTGTAGTAGCCCCTCACCCACACTCCGTAAGGAAGCCCATTAAGTCCATTGCTTTCCCAGTATAAAGTTTGGTGGAATCATGCCTCAGTTTGTCATTGGGACTTTAGGTTGAGGTAAATTTTCTTCACATTTCCTACAGGGAAAGAACTTCAGCCACAGAGAAGTATAAGGATGCCTTTAATATCAGCCCTGGGGATGCAGACCAAGGCAGGTAATCTCTGTGAATTTGAGGCCAGCCTGATCTAAATAGCAAGTTTTGGGCTAGTCAGAGAAACACTCACACACACACACACACACACACACACACACACACACACAGATGGACTTCCAACATGACATGATTCAGGCAATGTCGGCCTTTACTAGGACCTGCTTGTGTTGGTAAGCTTCCTACTGAAACAAAACGCCTGAGATAATGAGCTTAAAAAGAGGAAAGGATAACAGCACGTGTGATATGAAACTGCAAGGGGGAAGATAAGGGGGTGGAAGGGTTTAAGTGGGAATGGGGACAGGAAGAGGAGGGGACAGGAGAGTGGCAACCAAAACTATATATGGAAACGAAAAAAAATTTTTTAATTGAGGAAGTGGTGGTGGTAAGTTAGTTAACCCAGTCTGATCTTGCCACAGTATGTGCAAATATCAAAATATATTATAGCCCAGAATATGTAGAATTGTCAGTTAAAGCTAAAGCTTGACTTGCATGGGAGTGCAATCCTAGGACCGGGGAAGCTGAGGAAGGAAGTATTTAACAAAGTATTAGTAGTAATTCAACAGAATAGTGAAAATGAAGAACTATAGCTATAAGTTGCAGCATGAATACATCTCTTGAGATGTTAAGTTTAAAGGTAACTTGAAGATGAGCTGTTGATTGCAATTCCATTTTCACGAAATTAAAAATAAACTACAAGATATATGTATACACACTGAACTTCAACAACCCCACACACATCACACAAACAAATAAATGTGCTCATGAACTCATGCCATCCAAACAGACATACAGCTCAAATATAGAATGCTAAACCATAACAAGTTCCTGGGAGAAGTGGAATGCTGACAGAAGTAATCCAGCCAACCAACAGTGTGTCACGTAGGTAGGTGCTGTCATCCAAGAACTCTGCTAGATTGTTGGGGGCAGTAAGGCTAAGAAACAGCAACTGTTTCTGAGAGTGTTTGCAGATCACTAGGATGCCTACAAACTAAGAACCCGATTAAAGCAAGTATAGCTTGGAGGGGGTCCTGACAATCAGGAAGAAACAGGTGAGTTACTTTGCTAAGAACTTCTCTTTGGATCATCTTCCCACGTAGAGGTTGGCCTGGTTGACTTGCCCCTGCAGGGCACTTTAAAGAACACTGGCAGGCAGAGTAAGTCTAATTTACTTTAAGCCAGGAGATGATGAAGACGTCAAATCTTCTTGGAGCTCGCTGTTTGGTGAAATCAGGAGTCTTCATGTTCTATGGACTGAGCCAGCGGGCGCTTTTATTCTACTGTTATATGTTAATTATATTATGTATTATACTATATCACACTATATTACTATTTATTTATTTATTTTGAGGATCTCTCCATAGAGTGCTGGAACCCGTTACATACACAAGGCAGCCCTGTAAATCACAGAAACCCTCCTGCCTCCGCCTTCCGAATGCTGAGATTAAAGGAGTGTGCCACCACGGCTCGCCTCTCGTAGAAATTAAACAAGGCGATCTTTGCTCTTCTACTGAAGATGTCAACTGAGAGCATCACGCATTCACGCACGCGCAGGATCCAGGAAAGGCCCGGATGAAGGCGGGGCTCGCGTCCCGGATAATGCGTCACGGTAGGGGGCGGTGCCGCAGGCCCTGGTTGCCGGCGTCCGTCACACGCCGGAGGGAGCATGGGGAGTCCTGCGGGTCCCGGTCCCCGTCCTGCGGGCCCCGGTCCCCGTCCTACGGGCGCGGGGACTCTTGCAGGCGTGGGGACCCCGCCGGGCCTGCAGACCGACTGCGAGGCGCTGCTCAGCCGCTTCCAAGAGCTGGACAGCGTGCGCTTCGAGGACTTCGCGGAGCTCTGGCGCAGCATGAAGTTCGGGACCATCTTCTGGTGGGTGTGCCGCGCTGCCGGGCGGGAACGCAGCCTGGGTCCCCGGACTCCTCCTGGCCCTCCTGCCTGGGTCGCCCGTGCCATCTGCTGGCCCGCTCCTCTGCATTTCCGCCGCCTCGATAACGCACCCCGACCTCTGCCTTTAGACCTGCAGCCTTGTTCCCACTGAATGAATCCAAGGTCAGAGACAAAGTAACCACACCGACAGGTCCTGCACGGATGAATTCTTTTAGCATGCAACCACCAACGTTGGAAATGCAGACCGGAGCCTCTGTTTAGCGTCTTTGGGTGGATAAAGGCCAAACCAGCCCGGTGGCCGCCTATGCGTCTGCCCCTAGCCTCATTTTCAGTGCCCACAACTTGCACTCACTTTTTTTTTTTTTTTTCTCCAGCGTTGCTTTTTGTACTTCACTGGAGTTTCCTAGCCTGGGAAATTGCCTCCTTTTTTTTTTTTTTTTTTTTTTTTGATTGTCCACTTTTTCAGTCACATTTAAACCCAATGACAGTTCTTTAAGGAAGTCTTTTGCCCTTCTGGACTAGGTAAGAGGTTCCTGATCCACCTCCTCACCCAACACGCTATATTTCGAGTTGAGGAAACAGCATTGGATAATGGTGAAGAACACAGAGGATGGGTCCCAAGTATCAGAATTTGAATGCACCTCCCCAACCTTCCCACACTGAGATCTTGGCCATGCTTTATTTGCCTGTAAAATAGAGACAGCTATAATACTGTATAATAGTGCGAGGATTAATATACTTGGTCAGTATACTTGGTGTGTTCTTAATGTGCAGCGTTATTACTACTTTTTAATTTCCTCCTCAGACTGTCGATTAATGTGTGTTTTTTGTTTTTGAGACATGGTCTCATTGTGTAGACCTGGCTGGCCCGAAACTTGCTGTCTAGACCAAACTGTCCTTGAGATCTGCCTGCCACTTCCTTCTAAGGGCTGACAGGCGTTCAGCACCATGCTCAGGTTTTAAATTGGTGTTTGTATTAATTAGTGTAGCATATAAGTTATTGAAAAGGCTAATTGAATAAAACCTTAGTAGAGCTCATGCTGAATAAAATAGAGCATATTCTAACGATGTAAATTAATTTTTATGTAGTTTGTGAGTTACAGGGATGGAGAGTGAAGGTAAGTAGCTGGTCATGTGCAGCATACCTCTAAGCCCAGAACGTGGAGAAGCGGAGGCAGGAGAATCAGGAGTTTCAGGCCATTCTTAACTACAAAGAGAATTCCACACCAGGCAGGCTACAGGAGACACTGTCTCAACCAAATGACAACTGATCTTTTACTTAGCTAACTGTAATGCATTCACTGTTTAATATAACTAACTTAGAACTCTGAAAAGCAGGCATTATGATCCTCCATGCTTTAGAGGTTAGAAAATTGAGGCTTGAAGTTAATTTTACCAAATGTGGTGACCAATAGGCTTGTAAATTAGAATGATCAGGAGCTGAGGCAGGAGGATTGCAAGTCTGAGGTCAGCCTGGGCTGTAAAGGGAGACCATATCTTTAAAAAATACCTATGTCTTCCTTTTTATTTTTTAATTTAATTATAATTATTTATCTTAGTATTATTTTGAGACAGGGTCTTAATGTGTAGACCCTTAATGTCTTTTCTGTTTCTAAAATCCATACTTTTTCATGGTACTAAAGAGATGGGGTTAAAACTAAGGAAGTTTTTCTAGATTCTTCCACTAGAGAGGGTGGACTCCCCTGCTCCTTATGCAGCCCTGACTGTCCTGGAACTCAGGATGTAGCCCAGGCTATCCTCCTCAAACCCACAGAGATCCACCTGAGTGCTGGGATTAAAGGCATGTGCCCATGTGCCACTACGCCCAGCTCGATTTTCTTTAGTAATCATTTTGGTCTTAATACTATGGTAGGTATTTTGTGTTCTTTTAACTGTGCTTATTTGTTGCTTGAGAGCCAACACTGTCTACTCCCCCATTTGTAATGAGATGTACTAGATTACATTAGCTGAAGGGCCTGGGTCTTTATCATTTTATTTTGCTGTTATGAAAAAGGCAACATATTTATAATTATGTGCATGTCAGTTGTTTGCATGTGTTAAATGTGTTTTGAGGCATTTCAGCCAAGGTTATATTTAAAGATTGACTTTGTGTTTTTCAAAATAGGCCCTGGCTTTGGCCTTCAGTTGGTGGCAGTTCTATGTCTTGTCTCCAGAGTGTTGGAATTACAGTCTGGGCCAACACTCCCAACTTCTTGTTTCGTTTTGACACTGGCTCTCTTGTAGCCCAGGCTGGCCTTAACCTCAGTATGTAACCAAGGATGACCTTAAACCTTTTGATCCTCTGCCTCCATTTTCTAGTCGAAACCCACTTCCTAGGGTTTCAGGAGTGTTTCAGGAGGTTTCTACCGTGTCTGGCTTTAAAAAAAGAGTTGAGAACATTTTAAAATCTGCTAATTTAAGGTTGATCATGGAACACTACCATAATATGCTCATTGTTATATTCAGAGTTATAAAAAGAACATCATGTTGCCTTTTGTGTTCTGGTGAATGGGAGAAGGGGTTACATTGGGTTGTTTTCTCCCTCTTCCGTTTAAGCCTCCCAGGGACAGAATGTGATACAAATCCGGAGACTGCTGGAAAAATGTTAATTGTAGATTAAAATGCACATGGTTTTTTGGTCTGCAAAAACCATGATTATTTTACTATTAAATGTTTGAAGTTCTCAACATGAATTTGAAGCCTGGCTGGAGATCAGTTTGTCAGCAAGGCCGGTGTTTGGCGTCAGTGTCATGGTTACCTAACTCTGTGTGTGTGTGTGTGAGTGACTCTTAAGTCACAAGAGGGTCAGGTGTGGGTTCTTCATCTGGTTCCTAGACAGAAGCATATGCCTGCAGTGGCTTTTGTTCTTGTTTATTTAACAGTGGGAATATTTCCCTTTGTTTTACAGTGGCAAAATGAGAAATTTAAAAAAGAACATGTTTGCAAAAGAAGCTCTAGCTTTGGCTTGGCGCTATTTTCTGCCTCCATACACCTTCCAGATAAGAGTTGGCGCATTGTATCTATTGTACGGCCTGTATAACACACAGCTGTGCCAGCCCAAACAAAAGGTGAGGCTCGGTGACTCAGTTTCCCTCAGTAGCAACGTGGAGCAGGCCCTGTGTTTAAATTTACTCTTGTGAAGAAGGATCTGGTGTAGGTTACTGGTGTTTCTCTTCCTGGCTGTAGATCAGAGTCGCCTTGAAGGATTGGGATGAAGTTATGAGATTTCAGCAAGACCTGATAAACGCACAGCATTTCGACGCAGCTTTTGTTTTCAGGAAGCTTCGGCTGGACAGAGCGTTCCACTTCACAGCAATGCCTAAGCTGGTACGATGCCTATCCTGAAAGTGTGAAGTCTGTTCCTGGTGCTCAGAACTGTAGCCTTCTGGAAATGAGATACATATTTTCTGAGAGTTTGATTTCCCCTGTAGACAGTGCTCTTGAGCATTAGTGTTTGTGACATCACTCGTGAAGCTAATTATTGTGAGTGGAAGAGGCCAGGCGTCTGTGTCTGCTTTTTTATCTCTTTCCAGAGCTGAGGGTTCAGCCCTGAGCCTCATGCATGCCAGGCAAGTCCTCAGCCACTGAGCTGTCTCTCTTAGTCTGTGCCTTTCTCCATTTGAATGTCAAGAGGGCTCACTCGAAGAATAAGGAATTTTAATCTCAGTTATTTAAAAAAAAAATTGAAATTTGTAATAAAAGCCGTCATTTCTTCAGTTTTGTAATAATTGAGACACTAGATTGGAAGAAGAGATAGTCTCCTGGCAGCTCATGTGACTTTCTGAAGCTGGGCAGACTGTAGTGTTCAGTGTGGCATGTGATACCGAAACCCAGTAGGCTCTGCAAACGGAGAGTTAACAAGTGTGCTTGTGGAGCTGGCCTTCGTGTACGCAAACGAATTTACTCCTAGATTGTGTTTACGCTCTTTCAGATGTCCTCTAAAAGATACCCATTTAACACCTTTGAAAAGTGTTTATTGTTGTGCGTGTTTGTGTACGTGATGAGTGTAGGTGGCGCGTGTGCCCTTGTGCACGCGTGTCCACACCGTGAGACAACTGTGTGGCATTGTTCTCTCACCGTGATGGGTAACCACGTCTCCACTCAGGTGACCAGGCTTGCTCAGCAAGTGCTTGCCCAGCAAGTGCTTGCCCATGGAGCTGTCTCTCCAGCCCAGGGTGATGTTCATCTTAACAGGCATTCTTTGTATTTAGCTCTCATGTAGAATGAAGAAAAAAATTCAACAGACTGAAGTGACACAGAAATTCAAGGACCCAAGTGATGGTGTGATGAAACTCATCACTTCTGAGGTGCTGGAGGTGAGTTTGTCTGTACCCTCCTGCAGCTGGGGAAAGTGGTATTGTTGACAGTTCGTATGCTGAGGCTGAGGCTTCCGTGACAGGCCCTGTAATGGTTTCAGCGTGTATCCTGTCAACTCGCAGTCACTTTGGACAGTAATTACATTTTTAATGAGTTTGCCTTTGGGGTTGTCGTTAAGCTGGGCAGTGGTGCTGCACACCTTTAATCCCAGCACTCGGGAGGCTGAGGCAGGTGGATCTCTGTGAGTTCAAGACCAACCTGGTCTGCAGAATGAGTTTAGGACAGCCAGAGCCACACAGAGAAAAACAGTTTAAAAAAAAGAAAAGAAAAGAAAAAGATTGTCATCGAAGATACAAATGAAGGGCCAAGCATGGGGCTACATGCTTACCATTCCAGCACCATCCTGGGCTATATGGCAAGACCCTGTCTCTTAGGGGAAGACAAAGCAATATTAGAAAACAAACAAACCCCTTATACGCAAGAAATAAAGGACTCCTCTCTTCACTTTTAGGAATTGCTGAATGTTCACGATCATTATCAAAATATGAAGCATGCTATTTCAGCCGACAAGTCCACGCCAGACAGGGCTCTCAGCCTGGTGAAGGAGGACTTTTTTGACAGCATTAAGAACATAGTTTTGGAGCATCAGCAGTGGCACGAAGACAGGAAGGTAAGCACCTGCTTGTTGTTGTCCTACCCCTGTATTGTGCACAGATGTTTACATGTGGGCGGTGGCTGTATTGCCGTGGGGTGAGGATTTAAAAGGCATTGCCTTTCTAGTTGGGCACTTGCTAGGCCTGTGATGTGACATTATTCAGCTTTACAAACGGGGCTGGGGAGAGTAAATCCTGTTGAACTGTTTTTAGACTAAACCTGCATTTAGATTAATTTTGTTTGGTGCAGTATTAATTCTAGCATTGTTGTAAAACTTGGAATTCATTACCAACATGTAAATACTAGTGGACTGCATAGTAAATTTTGGAAAATGACCTTCTCTTGTGAACCGGAGGGTCTGCTTCCACTGGCCCCGCCTACCTGCATAATAGGGGACGCTGCAGGCAGGGAAGCTCTTCTCGGTCCCCAGCATTGCCTCCCAGTGTGGCTTAGCTGCGGATTTTCAACTCAGTGTTCTTTCTTTTTTAATTTTTTTTTTTTCTCCCTTTGAGGCAAGTCAATCCTGGCTGTCCTGGAACTCACTAAGTAGATCAGACTGGCCTTGAGCTCCACAGATAACTATTGCCTCTGCCTCCCCAGTGCTGGAATTAAAGGCATACACCAACACACACAACCAATTTCTTTTCATACCACAGGGATTCTTAGTTAAAGCAATTTAGGTGATATAATAATGGTTTCTAGAACTACTTAGAAACTTTGTGGTCTTAAATAGATTTACACTTACGTGTGTGTGTACGTGTGTGTATGTATGCGTGTGGTATGTATGTGCGTGCACTGAGTGCTTGTGTGAGTCAGAGGACAGTTCATGGGAGTTGGTTTTCTCCTTCTAGTGTGAGGTCCTTGGGATTGAACTCAGGTCACCAGGCTTGGCAGCAAGTGCCCTCATCCAGGAAGCTTTCTTTCCAGCATGAAACTTTTGTGCTGGTTAGTTTTCTGGTAGCATGGTGCAAGCAAGCTAGATTCATTAGTTGTGCAAATGCTTCCATTACATCGACCTGTGGGCAAGTCTGTGGGACATCTTCTTGATCACTGATTGGTATGAGAGGCCCAGCCCTCTGTGGGCACTGCTGTCCCTGACAGGTGGTCCTGGGGAGCAAGTAGAGTTCCTCCATCACCTCTGCTTCTTGTCTCCACGTGTCTCCTGAGTCCCCCGCCCTGACCTCCCTTGATGATGGATTGTAAGCTGGAAGGTGAAATAAACCCTTTCCTTCCCAAGTTGCTTTTGGCTGGTCTTTATCACAGCAGTGGGACAGATGGTGACCCATGCTGCGGTAATGTGAAATGAAGTTTTGATTTTTCAGTAATTAAAATAAATGTTCTGTACTGTTAAAATTGCAATCTACTAATGATCTATAATTAATAGAATTGTAAATATGTGTGTAATAACATACATAAATAACATTCTTGTTCTTTCAGAATCCGTCCTTAAAACCACAACTTAGAGACGGAGAAGAAAACAGCGAAGGCACTACAGAGGAGCCAGAGGTCAGCAAACTGTTAAAGGCAGCCAGCGACTTTCCCTTTTATGTGTGACTAATGTGGTTCATAATTGTCATGACCCTTGGTCTGTATTACAGAAACACAGGAAAATTTTGCTCTTTGTGTTCTGTGGTAACTAGTCTATTCTTCACCAGAACTGTGCAGGACATTAGGAGCATAGGTCGGAAGTGAGATGTTAGCAGTTCTGAGCAGGTCTGGTCAGGTGATGGAAGATGCTCCCAATCCCCAGGGCCAGGCTGAGGCCTGTGTGACGTCTTCTTGCTTCTCAGCCTTTCATCCCTGGTGACGCGTGGGCACTTCCTGCATTTTCTCATGTCCAATGTCTCATCTGACCTGTGCGGCCATCTTTAGGCTCTGGCAGATGAGGGAATGGCAGTCAAGAGCTCTGCTTAATCCCTAAGGCTGAGTCTTGAAGGAAATGGTCCACAGCTAGGAAGATGGCATCGTGCCTCCTGCTGTGTGGCAGGTAGAGGGTCAGGGGATTTTATATCAGTGTGTGCCCAAACATGTTAGCTCCTTTTCCTTTATCTCTGTCTCAAGTCTTAGTCCTGAGACAGATCCTTGGATTCTCATAACCTCCCTAATGTTCGTGTTCCTTCTTTGTTTTCCTTCTAGAGATGTGAAAGAGCACAGGCTCTAGCGAAAATAAAAGCAAAAGCCTTTTCAGCTGTTGCTCAGGTAAGTTCCATTTAGGAAGCTCTTTCCTAAATGGCAGTTTAGTGTCCATCTCAGTAATCCTGTGCACAGTTTAAAGTTGGTCCTCCAACAATTGGGGCTGTAGCCAGGCAGCGCCTTGCCCATGACTGCCTGGCATGACTGGAGGGGCACTGTCTGCAGCTTCTCCTCTGGCTCCTCCTTTTGCTGTGTGCCTACGGCCCTGAGGCCAGTTCTCCATCTTCTCCCACCTTCTGGGAGCTGATCCATGAGGAATGGCAGGTTTTGTTTTGTTTTGTTTTGATAGCTTATTATTTTTGTTTGTTTATTTATTACTTTTTTTTTTTATTTTGTATCCCAGCTGTAGCCACCTCCCTCTCCTCCCAGTCCCACCATCCCTCCCTCCCTGTTCTCCTCTAATGACCTCTCCAAGTCCACTAATAGGGAAGGTCCTCCTCCCCTTCCATCTGACCCTCTAGCCTATCAGGTTTCATCAGGACTGGCTGCATTGTCTTCCTCTGTGGCCTGGCAAGGCTGCACCCCTGCAGGGGGAGGTGATCAGAGAGCCTGTCACTGAGTTCATGTTAGAGACAGCCCATGTTCCCCGTACTAGGGAAACCAGTTGGAAATTGAGCAGGGGTTCTAGGTCCTCTCCAAGAAATGGTGATTTACTCTTTGTCCTTGAGGTTCAAGAATCCTTTGGGTTTTCATTGATTGGTGGCCATTCAGGTAATCATCCTTTCAGTCTGAGACCTTTGTGTCTGAAGAATGTCTTTAAATGATTACTTATCATATTTTTTTCTTCATCTTGTTTCTGTTTTTCTTTTCTGTTTTCAATATGTTTTATTAAGGTATTTCTTAGATGTTATCTTCTCTGCCCTTGATTCTTGTTGTTGTTTCATTTGGTTTTTTAGCATTCCTGTTGACATATTTTTCTTTTTAAGATTTATTTGTTTTATATAGAGTGCTATATCTGCAGGTACACTTGCATGCCAGAAGAGGGCATCAGATCCCGGTATAGATGGTGGTGAGATAGATGGTTGTGGGAATTGAATCAGGACCTCTGGAAGAGCAGACAGTGCTCTTCACCGCAGAGCCATCTCTCTAGCCCCCCAAGAATATGTTTATTCTTGGAATGATTCTTTTGAAATATTTTTGCTCCAGATATAGTGTCTGCCATTAAGGATATTAATTTACTTACAGTTTTTTATATTTCCTCCCATTTCCTTTGAGTCCATTTCTCTGTTTTGGTCTCTATTTTTCATTCTCTTGGCTTTATTTCGGAAGGTTGGAGTTCCTCAGATGTCTCTATATTGGGTGGCTAGCCAGTATGCAGGCTTTTAACTTGCTGCCTTTTCCACTGTGCCATCTTTGTTTTGTTGTTTGTCTCCTTTTTGTTTTTTGAAACAGTGTTTCTCTGTGTAGCCTTGGCTATGCTCGGATAGCTTTGTGCTGGGATTATAGGCATGCACCTGGCATTGTTTTTTAAATCTTAAACTTCGCTGGTTTGTTCTTCCCAGAGAACAGACTCCTGTTGTCCCAGGGAGGTGGTCTGCTGCCTAGCTTTGAGGCTGGGCAACAGGGCACAGTTCCTTTGTAGATATTCAGCATATCGCCCTGTGGTTTTAGTACACCGTAGTGGGATGAGCTATTTTTTAATGATTTTCCTTGTTGTAGCTGTTCTGCTTCTGACCTTCCTTCTGTTAAGTAACTGTTCCTCACTTTCCTACGTAAAATTGTAATTGTGTTTTTCTACCATATATCTGTTTTCTGTGGGTTTTTGTTTGTTTGGTTGGTTTGTTTGTTTGGTTTGATTTGGTTTGGTTTTTCAAGACAGGGTTTCTCTTTGTAGCTTTGACTGTCCTGGAGCTCACTCTGTAGACCAGGCTGTCTTTGAGCTCACAGCAATCTGCCTGCCTCTGCGTCCCTGAGTGCTGGGATTACAGGTGTGCACCACTGTGCCTCGTTTGGTTTTTCTGTGTTTTTATTTCATTATTTTACTGGAGTTTTAAGAGAAAATAAGTACTAATAAATTCATTTGTAATTCTATGTTTTTCTTGGATTTTTTTCCCCCATGAGTCTATTTTATGGGAAGGGAAATGATCATTTTCCAACTGAAGGAGTAGAAAGTAACAATATTTAGGATGACTCTCGATTGGTGAGGTGTTAAACGATCGCCATAGGACCATCGCAGTAAACTCAGTATACGTCACTCAAGACACACCAAAGGAGACAGATGAGAAATGGATTGTATCCAGTTCCTTTTAACCATATTCTCTTTATGTATGGAGAGAACTTTGTGACCAAGTGATGTCTAATGTACATGTTAAGACATCAGATAATTTTGCAAATCTGATTACATCACACTCCACAAGTTGTTCTGATGTATCATTGCAGGGCTGTAGTTTTTCCTCGCTTGAGGAGCAGTTGGTACCTTACATAATTGCCTTTGGAGATGCACTGATTCCTAAAATGCAGTTAACAGTAACTGAAAACTCTTGATTAAGCAAGTGAAGGAATTGGTGAGCTGATTCAATTAAAGAAAAAAAAAAAAGTCTGGATGGCATGGTGGTGCCTGGCTTTGGTCCCAGTGCTCAGGAAGGCATGGGGGTGTTTAAGGCCAGCCAGCTTTGTAGTGTATACAGGCAGGGCTACGTGGAGGGACCATGTCTGTAACAGCAACAAAACTCCAGGTTTGCTGCTCTTCTATATGGACCTTCTTCCTCAATTTCCTGTCTTTGCAGTGTGTTCATGCTCCTGGCTTTAGGTTCAAAGCTGGTGTTTCTTTCCTGGTCGTCTTAGTTCTAAGCCATGGTGAACAGTCACAGTGATGTGGAAACCATCTTGACCAGTCTGCGCCACATGGTCATACTTGGAGCTAGGCAAACAGTGGAAGGCATCTTGAGGAAACCTGACTTCTGATTCTGTCTCTGTGATTCATTATCCTTCTCCATAACAGCAACTGCATTTTAGCCCAATGTGAGCTTAGGGTGAGGCAGCTGCAGGACTTTGGTTGTGAAGACCGTGTCTACACACAAGTGTTAGTATCAGCCTGGTATAGTAAAGGGCATGATGTTCCTGCCGTCCTCACCTTTATGACCTGTCCTTTGGATCACTCTGTTATTCGCTTTGTGTAATTGGCTCTCTGTCAATAAGGTATCCAAGTCCAGGAGGCATCGCCAGACCAAGCTTGACTCTTCTGACTCGGATTCTGGGCCTGGACAAGTGCAAGGCAGAACAGCCAAGAGAAAGAGGACCCAAGAAGCAGCAGAACCAGCAGGAAGGAAGCGGTCTTCCAGGAGCAAAGGTACTTCACTTTAGCAGTCTTACTGAGCCTTGGCAAGGAAGAGCGGGCCCTTATTTCTTGGATGGACTGGAGCTGAGTTGGCAGGGACATCTGTAATCCCAGCACTCTGGAGTCTGAGGCAGGAGAATTACCAGTTTAAGCCTGGCTTGAGCTCCATAGGAAGACACTGTCTCACAAAAAAAAAATAAATAAATAAATAAAAAAGACTTGTTTGGGAAAATTGTGGGATGTTAAAAATGAACCCATTTTCATAGCTTCTTGGGCTCTTGTTGCTGAAAGAGACTCTTGAGATTATGTCAAAGTTGTTATTCACTGTAACTGTATTAGTAATGGTGCCTGTGAATTAAATCTACATCTAGGAAAGGCCAGTCAGTAATGCATTCTAAAGCCTTTATTTCCTTCAGCTACATTCATCAAGCTCTCCCTGTTTTTCCTTTGTAATAAAGTCTGTGAAATGCCCTCATTACTCAGTGCTTAACTGACTGTGTATTCTAGTGATTAGACTTTCCACAAGTTGCACAGATGCTGTGCGCTCAGCATTCCTAAACACGGAATGTGCTAATGGCAGAAAGAACAATAGAAACATTATCAGATACTTAATGACTTTATCAGACACATTCCTTGCTACTGCCAGGGTTCACGGAAAGTAGTTTACAGTCTCTGAACATGTTTCGCTTCTCCTGCATTGAGGCAGTGGAGGGAGAAAAAGCCTTAGTGTATGTCAGATTGAAGAATTTAGGGGAAGAAGCCTGCAGTTGCCAAGGGCAGCCAAGAAGCGCCTCATGAGGAAAGCTTGCTGCTCCGAGGCTGGCAGGCGTGCTGGTGACAACTGTGAGGACAAGCTCGAGCACGATAAAGAAACCCTACACTGCACAGCAGCCCCCAAGCAAAAACTTCCTGAGGCAGTTGTCCCAGGATGCAGTTGTCCCAGGATGCAGTCGTGGTAATTAATTGTGCTCCGTTAATATAATTTATCTTTATTAGGCCAAAGGGGGAAGTCTATATTAATTTTAATAATTATCAGATATTTGATAGTATCTAATATCCAACCTTTAGTTAAAACGTTCTCTAGGTGAGGGGTCATCCAACTTTCTGTACAGTCAAGATAGCCGATATTTTAGACTTCATGACCCATACAACTTCTCTCACAGCGTAGTCAGCCAGGTGCCAGCGACTGACTAAATGAGAGCAGATGCCTATACTCCAGTAGAAGTGCGCTTCTGAGCAGGAGATGGGCCTGGTTCACCACTGACAGAGCATGTCAACTCTGGTTTTCATGACTTGCGAGTGTCCAGTGTTATAAGTAAAAAGTATTAAAAAAAAAAAATAACAAAAGTTTTAGTAAGGGAGCCGGCTACAGAAGCTAGAGCTGCAGGGGGTCATAAGGAGACCCTGGGCAGTTTTATTATTCTACACCGACTGTAAATTTCTAATAAGACCCTAGGTAGAATCTGAATCGTCTTCTAGCCTCTAAGAGCATGAAACCTCAAGGTGCTCTGCCGGAAGTTTCTGGACACTTGCTTATTTCGGTCCTGGGAATTGACTGGCCTTGTACACACCTGCCAGTGCTCACCCCTCACACATCTCTAGTCCTCAGCCCTTTGAGCAGGTTCTCGCTGTGTACGTCAGGGAGGCCTTGAATTCTCAATCCTCCTGCCTCGGTGTCCTGTGTGTTGGGATTACTCATGTGCCATGGCACCCAACTTACATATGGTTAAGAAAAGAGTAATGCTTCTATACAAATTCTTTCAGAAAATAGAAAGAACACTTTTTAGCTTGTTGTTATTGTAAGAAATGAAAACTACCGAATTCCTCCCTAGATAAAGCAGAGATCAAGGAAATGCAGCAACCTATTGGAAGAACTCATCACTGGTGCAGACCTTATTTCCATGATGCAAGAGATAAGGCAGTGTAATTCATGTCAGCTGATTAAAAGACAAGAGCTCTCAGGAGAGGGTATTGACAGATCCGTTTTCTGCTCATGGTAAAAACAGCGCATTCCTATTAGATGAAAACCGAACTGATGGGTTTTAGCAGACACAAGACTCCAGCATCATCTTTATAAAACAACCTCTCCCAAGGTGGAGAGTAAGTCAAGGAAGCCCATGATTAAACATTGTGCAGGAGACCCAGTCGGTCAAGGAAGGAAACAGCTTTGTTTGTGCTTCTTGGCAGTCAGCATCTTCTCTTGCCTCTGGTCCCTTAGCAACCATCATGTTTTCTATCCCTGTAGACCTGCCTTTCCAGAAAGCTGTATGAATAGAATTATACAATATGTAGCTCTGGCTGTTCTGGAACTCGCTGTGTAGACCAGGCTGGCTTTGAACGCAGAGATCCACCTGCCTCTGCCCCTGGAGTGTGGGGATTAAAGGCGAGCACCACCATGTCTTGCGTAATCTGTAGCCTTTTGTGTTTGGGCTTTCACTAGTTAATGCATGTGAGAGTGTTCCCGCACTGCCTGTGGTATTTCACTGTGTGATGGAGCGGTTCATCCAGTCACCTGCTGAAAGATGTTCTGGCTGTTTGCACCCTCTGCAGTGCGAACAAAGCTGTCACAGCTTTTATGCAAAGCTTTTCTGTGAACCTACGCCATCATTTTGATTGGGTAGGCATCAAGAATTGGGATTTCTGGGTCACATGGGTAAATGCAAAACTGGCTTTCCACAGTGACTGTACGTTGTGTGACAAAGCTTTTCCTGGGGAGACGCAGTACACACCTACTCACCATAGATAGGGAGCCCATGGCGGACCAAAGTGCGCGACCACCTGAGTGCAGCCTGGTAAACCACTGAGTTCCCGCGGGGTTACTTGCAGGAGCAGAAACGACTAAAGACTACTGTATCACAAAGCTCACCCCAGAGTGGGTGACAGCGCTCAAAGCTGGGAACTGTTGCTCACTGCACAGCCTGCAGGTGGCCCAGCAGCTGGGCCCAGCAGCTGGAGAGTGTCCTCTCCAAGTGACTCTGGTCTAAACCCCTCCACAAGGCAGCTGGTCTGGTCTGAGTCCTCTTGGAAGCTCAGCTCTCCTTCCTGTGAGAGAGACTCTCAGCTTTCATTGCTTACTCTGCAGGGAGTGGCTAGTGATTCTGGTCAGTTTCAAGCGCCTCCTGAGGCTATTTTGAGTTGTGTACCTCCCTGTTTAAAGCACTTCTCTGCTGGACAGAACGCTTCGGTCTCATAGGAAACCGTTATACAACACCGCCATTCAGGATTCCCACCAGAAACAGCTGGTTTCCACTTGATTTGAGAATCATCAGCTTTGGCCGTTGCACTTTGCTTTCATAGCCATGTGGGGTACAGTACAGGGTCAGTTTGGTTCCAGTTGACTTTTCCTTAACAACTGGAGGTGTGCTCGAATGAGCCCCCATTCCATATTTTCTTTTTTATGAAAAATCTGAAATTTCTCTTTCATTTTATGTGTATGCATGTTTTGCCTTCACATGTTTGTGTCCCACGTATGTGCAGTGCCTGCGGAGTCCGGAAGAAGGTATCAGGTTCCTGGAGTTAAAGATGGTTGGGAGCCTTTGTGTGGGTCCTGGGAATCGGACTCCGGGAGAGCAGCCCATCCTAGCCGCTGATCAGTTTTTCTAACTGAGTGAGCGCTCACTACTGAGGAGTGAGAGTTACACACCTGATAGGAGAGCCTTATCAGTCGTCAGGATTTCATTTTGCACCTATTTTTCCATGCTGTAGCTTGATTTCTCTCTTTTTCATAAGTGTCTCACAAAGATGAATTTTAATGGGTGTGGCAGTACCCACTTTTGATCCCAGTGTGCTAAGGAGTCAGAGGCAGGAGGATCGCAGTGAGCTCCAGGCCATATAGGTTACACAGAGGGACCCTGTCTTGAGTGGAAAAAAACCTGTTTTGTTTCTGTGAAGACAGGGAGTCATCCAGCCCACGCTCCCCTTGGCTGTCTGTGTAGACATGGACCTTAAACTCCCAAACCTCCTGCCTTCCCCTCCCAAGTGCTGGCACTACACACACACACTACCACATGGGCTTAAGAATTTTAACTTTGGAAAAGTGCAATTTATCATTTATTTATCATTTTTTTCTTTTATGATTCATGGTTTTTGTGTTACACGTAAAAACTTACCAGAGAACAAGCAGTTTTTCAATGTTTTCTCCTACACATTTTGTAATTTTAAGCATTACTTTCATGTCTGTGGCACACTTGAATCATTTTGTTATATAGGCACTTAGAGGATGTATTTGACTATGGATGTAAAATTGTTTTAGCATCCTTTAAAACTACCCTTTCTCCTTCCTCCAAATTGCCTTCACACTGTGGTCAGAAATAAAAAAAGACCATTGAGATAGCTCAGCAGGTAGCGGTGCCTGCGATCAATCTTCTGGACCCATGTGGTGTAGGAGAGAACCAGTTTTCACGTGTCCTCCAAACTCCAGGTGCACACTGTGATAAGGTGTACCTCAGTGCCACACGCACATTCCCATTCCCACAAGGATTTTACTGTTCTTCTTGTATGTGCGTGATGCATGTGCGTAAGAAGTACACATTGAGCTGGAGAGATGACTCAGTGGCTGGGATCCCTGGCTGTCCTGCCACACGTGCCAGGTTCAATTCCTAGCTTCCACACGATGGCACATAAGCTGCAGCAGACTTGAAAAAGAGCGTTCAGGTTGTGTAGAGTGAGGTCCATTTTGGTTCATGTGTAGACATGTTAACTGTTAGGAATTTTGGAAAAATACATTGAGGCCTGTATCACTGTGAGACTTCAGATGTGGAGTCAGCAGCCTAGGTTTTAATTTGTTAGGCAGAGTTGAATTATATGAAATTTCCGAGGAGAAAGTGGCATGACTAGAGTCTCCTTGGAAACCAGGGTTAACGCGGTAGGTTGGCGTTAGCAGACTAACGTGCGCTGCTGTGGTGGTCCAGGCTGAGGAGTGGGCAGTAACAGCCATGCTTGTGAGGGCTTGTGAGCTATGCAGGTGAGTGCAGAGGCTGGTGTGGGGTGAGACAAGCTTGCTAGGACCTCAGCCTGGGGGAGGAGGCGTGTGGGCAAGTGCTGGGGAAGTACTGGTGGCCTGATGAAGATCTCATGGGGGGAACATTCCTCAGTCTGCCTGGCAAGATCTGGTTCCTGTAGTGCCTGCCTGTCCGTGAACTTCCGGCCCACCCGCCTCTACCTCACCAGAGCTGGGACTATAGATGTGGCGCACCAGGCCTGGTTTATGGGGCTGGGTCCTGAACACTTGTTCCTGTTAGATGAACTCTACTGACTCAGCCACCTCCCAGCCCAACCCTACTGTTTTTGAAAATGGAAATTCACTGGCAGATAGGACTAAAGAAGTATATGAACATGTGTATTGTATAGCGAAAGAAAATGTGTCTGCATTCAAAAGTAAAACTGAAGCTGTTCAACTTTAACTTACTGTGAAGTTGAAATAACATACTTAAGTCCCTCTAGACACCCTGTTTTGTATGATAAAGATCAAATAAGGTATCTCTCACTTGCTTCTTTTCATTCACTCCATTTTGCCGGATAAAATAATTATATACTATATTTAAAGCACAGGGGTTTTGTTGGTTTGGTTTGGTTTGGTTTTACAGATACAGAATTTGAACTTGCTACCTGACTCAGTCTGGCCTCAGACTTGTAATCCCCTTGCTTCATCTTCCTGAGTGCTGGGATTAAAGTTTGCTTGTTTGTTTATTGAGGCCGGATCTCGCTGTAGGCCACGCTGGCCTCAAAGTGAATATCCTCCAGCGTTGAGGTTATAGGCGGACGCCACTACGTCCAGTGACACAAATGTGTTAATACTTAAGAAAAGATTATCCAGATATGGAGAGATCAGTTAAGGCTAAGGGTGGGATAAGAAGTCACAAGGAAACCTGTTACTTGGCAAACTAATAAACATTTAAAGGCTTTTAACTCTAGATTGCATAATGAATGTTACTATACTTTTCAGTGTTGAAACATCTAAGATTAGTATTCTTTGTTTCTGTGGACAGTCATTTCTCCCTATATCTAAACATTCCCAGGTAATGTTCAGAATGAACGTAAGGAAGAGAAGTCTTTACGCCTGAGTATGCCTATCATTACAGAAGAGGGGGACACCGATGGCCTCAGCGAAGCAGGTACCCATGCATCTCGCTAACTAGTGCAGGACTAGGCTTTCAGAGTCAGGGCTGGGGCCTCCCTGTGAGTGATGATATGGCATGTGGATGTGGACGCCTGTCAGGGACTCTGCTGGGCTCTGTGAAGCTGCTCCCAGGCTTCTGCCGCAGTGCTCTTCGTCCTGGCTTCCTCTCTTCTAGGAATCTGATTTGTTTTCTTTTCCTGGCTCCCGCCCCCTTCCCTCACATTCCCTTTTTATTTTTCATTAACGGGGAATAATTGTTTTTATCACGTCTTTCTGATGTTCTTGTTTCTGTGTCTTATCTTTAAGGATGGTTATTTGCATGACAGTTACAGCATTAGCTGTGAGAGCCAGAAAGATATAGAATACTTATGTGTTGTTTCCAGGTTTTATTGTAATGAGTCAAACTCTTCGCTTTCTCTTTGCACTAGCCTAGATAAGTGTCAGTTTTTGTGCCCTGGGTCCATGCTCGTTATAGGGAAGGCACATGGAATTTCAGGCAACCTAATACTTTTGAAGTAGGGTTTAGAGTGACCGAGAGCTCCTGTCTTATTGGCATCAAAGTAAGATTGAAATCCTGTTGTCTCGTTGGAGGTAGGAGTTTCTCAACTGCAATTTCATTTGAAGAAATTCACATGTGTGTCAGCTAAGATTTTTCTTTTAAATTTTAAGTTAGCAACAAGCAAATGGGCTTCATTGTATCATTTTAATATATATATCTTTTAAATTTTAATATACATTATAATTTTAATATGCGTGTGTGTTTGTTATTCGTCACTCTCCTCACTGTTTCCTCTTGGGTCTTGGCTGGGGGACATGGTTGGCTTAGCCCTGTTAACACATGCACAGGTTAAATGTGCATTACTTGAGTCTGTCATTTAAATGTCATGTTTTTAAAAATCGATGGACTTCTTAACCTTGTCTCCACAGAGTTCACTGCACCCAAGAGAAGAAGAAGACGCTGAACCAGGATGCCGGAGCTTACATTTTGAGCTTTCCAACAGAAGAAAAACTATTTATTTTGTGTTCTGAGCAGGACGGTGGCCAGTGAGGACTAATGTCTGAGAACAAGGTCATTTCTGTGAAATGGGAGAGCCTGTCATAGGTCAAGAGTTGGAGTAGAAGTTTACTGTGAAATTTAATTTTAACGTTTATGTTAAAAGTGTATGTGAATGGAGATAAAGTTTGCATTTAGAATATAATAGAAAGAATTGTACATTTGTAGATTAATACCCTTTCTTGAAGTTTTTGTGCTATCACCTTAATGTAGTGCTATAATGTTTACTATTCTATTTTTAAAACATTGTCTTAAAATACTGTTACATGTAAATGACTCAGTTCTGTCATCTAGCACTAGCAATGGCTTTTGCTGTGACTTTTGTTTAATATTTTGTATGTCATGGTAGAGTGCAATAAAAACTTTGGCCCGCTTGCTTTATCTTTTTCTTTTTTTAAATGTATTTATTATGTATGCAGTGCTCTGTCTGCACATACACCTGCATCCCAGAAGAGGACACCAGATCTCAGTGTAGATGATTGTGAGCCACCGTGTGGTTGCTGACCTTTGAACTCAGGACCTCTGGAAGAGCAGACAGTGCTCTTAACCTCTGAGCCATCTCTCCAGCCCCCTTGCTTTATCTTTTGATGTGTGAAACTTACATGGTCAGCAACTTGACTAATGACTTAGGAAGTTAACGCTCCTTTTCTACTTAATTGTAGAAATACCTTCCTTATGCTCATTTATTTTGACAGGGTGTTGCTGGGTGTGCTGGATTGGTCTTGAACTTTCTCTGCTCCTGCCTCAGTCCCCCTCACTGCTGGCATTACAGATAATGCACCACTGTGCTTCACTTGTTCCCTTCTTTACTGTGTATGACTACATACGTACATGTGTGTGTACACGTAAGATTAGTTAATAAATTGCTTACTGCTTGAGCGATGGCTCAGTGGTTAAGAGCACTGTCCGCTCTTCCAAAGGACCCGGGTTCAAGTCCCAGCATGCAGATGGCAGCTCACAACTATCTATGTACTAACTTTCTCATGGAGCAGTCACAAATTTTGGAATGTGTCTTTGACACAGAACTTTTATAAATCAGAAAACAGTTCTAGCATCATGCATGTGCTGCTCTTGTACTTTCTCTTCCGGGGAGTTTAAGTGGAGATTGCTTGAACTGTGTTTGAGGTAGACTACCTCCATGACGTGGCTTGTTCAACCTAACAAATAGTTAATTATTAAGGCCCAACGCCTGGGTTGAAGAAATTTCCAAATCTGATGTGATTGGAAATACATATCTTACGTATATAATATTTTAGTGATGACTTGGATAAAATTGGGCTTGTTATCTCGTTAGCTATTAAATGCAGTTGTTTCCTTTGACGTCAGCTCTGTCTGTAATGGTTGGAGCATTCTAACACAAGCTCGGGCCAGAGCTGCTGGGATCAAACTCTCAAAAGCTTGGATTAGTAATGTTTATAGGCACTGTACAGCTGAGTTGCAATCTATTTTTCACAAAGTGCTTATAAAATACATGTTATTTCACAGACTAAAGTGATGATGAGTAAATACAATATTTGAGACAATACTTTTCGTCATCATAATCGAAAATCCATGTTTACTTAAATCATTGGTCAGGCCAAACTTGTGGTTCATTTGACAGCTGAAGGGAACCCTCATTTCCTTGTGTTGATTTTAATTAGATAGAATGTGTACCCTCTTCTCAACCTACCTTGGGTATAGAGAAAAGATTGCTATCTCCCATCTATCTGTCTACCTATTTAAGTATCCCTTGAGAAAATACCTAACAATGAACTTTTTGCACTGAAAATTGCTTGTATTTTTCCTAGGTTAGCTTAGGAAAATAACCATAGTTACTAATGCCTTCATTACCCTTCATTCTTGAATTAAATTACAGTTTGAAGAAGGCTTACTTTTTAAATGGCTTGGAAAGAACTCCGTGGGTGTTAAACTATTCACATTTTCATTTATCTTTTGAACGACTATGTAGTAATTTTCATTGCACATTTTTCTTATTCTCTGTGTTAATGCAAATGTCAAAGCCCAGACTTGAGGTTGTATAATCGCTTTTATGTGATATTTTTAAATGCCTGAATTATTCATTCTGTGCTGTGTATTACAGGTCTGAATTTTTATTTTAAGAGACGTTCGAGCAGGCTCTTTTCAGTTGCAAGAAACAAAAGCATACTCCCAGTATCTTAAATGCCGGAAGCTTGCTGGAAGATTACGGATAGGCACCCATCAAAGACTTCCTCAAGGACTTGGAGAGTAGCTGTCAGCCTCTTTTATACCAAATGATGCTCTTAAAAATAGCATAGTGATCCCTGTCCGTTGTGACCCGTGTACCATAGGGCACAACAGGTGACAGAGAAGGACCCATCTGAGGCAGCTTTCCTCAGAAAAGGTGAAGGGGCAGGCCTCTACAGTCTCACGGACTTATCTGTGCAGTCATGGGTTCACAAAATGTATTGTCAGCCTTGCAACTTGATGCAATCAAGGAGGGGCACAACCAGGGACATAGCCATTCCCTTCACAAGTAGCCACACTGCACAGAGCTGAAGAACATCAACTCTCAGGCAGGCTGGGTTTGCTTTGGTGTTACATGATGCCGGCTGTAATAATTTGGGGTTGCAGAAACTATAACCCAGTGTTAGGCTGCCAAGGGCTCCACCACTGAGCGTGTTATACCTAGTCCTTTGTTCTGCCTGCTGAGTTGCCCGTGCTGGATTTGTAATTTACAGTGTAGCCCCAGACAAAATGTTGAACCTTCTATTGCCTCCCCGCCTGACTACTCCTGTTTTCAACAAACAGTTCTATGTTTATTCACATAAAACCTTCTCTGTTGCTCTTTCTTTGTGAAAGCCAAGCTCTCTTTTCTAGCTGAAGAAATTAATATTGATTTTTTTTTAAGCTCAGTACTTTTGCAGACCAGTTTTATCATATTTTGTTTGTCTGAGAGAGATTTTCATTCATTCTTCTGAATGGTGTTTTTGCAAGATTTAAAATTCTAGCTAGACAGCTTTTTCCCTCCTCTCTTTCTGTCAACACTTGTAAGATTTTTTTTTTTTAATCCCATCATCATCAGACTGCATTGTTTCTGATGGGAAATTAGAATTCGTTCCTCTGGAGTCTCTTTTTTTTTTTTTTTTTCTTTCTTTGCCTGTGTTATATTTTTGTTTCTTTTATTTTTCAGTGCTGGGAACTGAACCCACAGCCTTACATAAGATATGCTTTGCCAGGAATTCCTCCAGTGCCTCTCTGGCAGTCTGGAGTTTGTTGTTCAGCAATTTGATATGCGTCTGGTGCAGTTGGTCTTTCTAACCCAAGGTGACTTCTGCACCAGCCTCATTTGCTTCTCCTCCTGTTAATTACTCGGTACTGTCTCAGGGGTCAGATACTGTTTTCTCCAATGGTGCTTCTTTCAGAGTGCCTTTGATTTGTCTTCAAGTTCATGATCTTTCCTTCTCTTGTATTCAATCTGCTTTTGGTTTTCTCTAATAACTTTGAATTTAGGGGCACCAATTTTTAATTCTGATTTTCCCCTTGATTTCTTTTCATGGGTTTCCAGCATCATTGCAATGACTCATTGGTCAACTTCTCTAGCCATTTTTCTATATAGATTTGGCGGGATCAGGGTTGAGGCAGGCTCCTTTTCTATATATGAAAAAATGCTATCCTGGAACTTGCTGTGTAGAACAGTCTATCCAGAAAGAGATCCAGCTGGGTTTCTCCTGTGCTGCGTTTAAAGGCGTGTGTCACCACACCCTGTTGGCACTTTAAAAATTTTTTTTTTTATTTTATTTTTATTAATCACAGTTTATTCACTTTGTATCCCAGCTGTAGCCCCATCCCCCATCCCCTCCCAATCCCACCCTCCCTCCCTCCTCTTCTATTCCCCTCCCCCAGTCCAATGATAGGGGAGGTTATCCTCCCCTTCCATCTGACCCTAGTCTATCAGGTCTCATCAGGACTGGGTTCTTTGTCTTCCTCTGTGGACTGGTAAGGCTGCTCCCCCCTCAAGTGGAGGTGATCAAAGAGCCAGCCTCTGCCATGCAATTGATATATCACTTCATTTGTAAGTATACACAATTAGACATAGTTAACTGAATGTATTATCTCTGTAAATATCAACTGTTTCCCTTCCACTAACAGTTCTCCAAGAATGAACCTTTTGTATTATATTAAAAAATGAAATACTCTATCTTTTTAAAAGGACCATATATCTAGAAAACCATCTTCTTTGCAATTTGATATGAACCAATCAGAATATTTGTCGTTAGTATATAACAAAATATTGAATTACCAACAAAGTTACATATATATATGCTCCTAGCGAATAACTCTTTTATTCTTTCCACATATTTTCTTAGAGTTGCAAATATGATTTAGTCCCATGACTACAGTCTACAGAGCTAGAACAAATCTCTGTAATGTTTCTGGGTCTGTGCAATTAGGATTTAATTGCTACAGAGAGAAAAATGAAAATGTAGAATGACTCCTTGGGGCTGTATTGTCAGAATTCCATTTTGTTTTATTCTTTGGTGGATTTATCTTTTTTTTTTTTCCCTTATGATATCAATGTTTAATAAAAAGAGCAGAGGATCCCAACCAATTGTAGTCTGGGCAACCACAGGAAATGAAACAAGGCAGGTGTGGGCTTCCTGTAAGACCTTGTTGAGCCCAGAACTTGTGGTACCAGAGGGAGGGTCAGAGTTCTATCCATTTAGTTTTTAATTTAATTTTTAATTTTTGCTTTTATTTCTTTTCGTTTTTGAGAACTTTGTTAACTGCTGAGATATTTTTGATGGTGTTCTTTGATTTTTTTTTTAATTTTGTTAAAAGATTCAAGCATAGTTATCTTACATCCTGTGTCTGATGATTGCATTATCTGAAATTCAGCAAGTCAATAATGTTGGTCTGTGGTCCTCATCCCTGGTGGTTGGACTTCTTCACTGGTTTCTAATGGGAGCACAGGTTTTCTTGACCTGAATGCTGGCGCTTATTTGATGCTTCCCTTTAGAAAGACTTGATGTCTGTGTTTAACTGTACAGCAGAAATACTATTATTTTGGCCCCTCTAAAGTCTCTGTCTCTCCTTTTGTCTTTCTGTCTCTTTCTCTGTCTATTCTTCTCTCTGTGTGTGCATGTGTTTCTCTGTCTCTTTGTCTTTCTCTGTGTGTGTCTCTCTGTCTCTGTCTTTCTGTCTCTGTCTCTCTCCTGATTGGGTCTCATTTGCAGCAGTTCTCAGATCCACTCTTCATTGGTTTCTGTTCCATTTGCTTACTGTCCATTATTCTGGTTTCAGTTCAGTCTTTCCTTCCTTCCTTCCTTCCTTTTCTTCCTTCCTTCCCTCCCTTTCTTCCTCCCTCCCTCCCTCTCTCTCTCTCCCTCTCTCCTTCTGTGCTCCCCTACTTTCTGT